TCACAGGGTCTTGAGATCTTGCCCTTGGTTTGGCTCTGAGCTCAGTAGTGAGTCTGCTTGAGATTCTCCCTCTCCTTCTGTCCTATCTTGAACTCTCTCTCTCTCTCAAATAAATAAAATCTTTAAAAAAATAAAAAAAAATCCAGTTAGTTAACATACACTGTAATATTAGTTTTAGATGTATAATATAGTAATGCAACACTTCCATACAGCACCCAGTGCTCATCACAAGTGCTGTCCTTCACCTATTTATGGTGTTTTGCCCAACCCAAAAAACAAAAACTCCAGTCAAGAAATGGGCAGAAGACATGAACAGACATTTCTCCGAAGAGGACATACGAATGCCAACAGACGTGTGAAAAAATGCTCCACATCATTGGACATCAGGGAAATAGAAATCAAAACCACAAAGAAATACCACCTCACACCTGTCAGAATGGCTAAAATTAACAACTCAGGAATCAACAGACGTTGGCGAGGATGTGGAGAAAAGGGAACCCTCTTATACTGTTGGTGGGAATGCAAACTGGTGCAGCCACTCTAGAAAACAGTATGGAGGTTCCTCAAAAAGTTAAAAATAGAGCTAACCTATGGCCCAACAATTGCACTATCAAGCATTTATCCAAAGGATACAAATATAGTGATCTGAAGGGGCACATGCACCCCAATGTTTATAGCAGCAATGTCCACAATAGCCAAACTATGGAAAGAGCCCAGATGTCCACTGACAGATGAATTGATAAAGAAGATGTGATTATATATATATATATGTGTGTGTATATATATATATGTATATATATTACTCATCCATCAAAAAGATTGAAATATTGCCTTTTGCAATGATGTGGATGGAACTAGAGGGTATAATGCTAAGTGAAATAAATCAGTCAGAGAAAGACAAATATTGCATGATTTCACTCATATGTAGATTTCAAGAAACAAAACAGATGAAAATAGGAGAAGGGAAGGAAAAATAAGATGAAAACAAAGAGGGAGACAAACCATAAGACTCTTAACTATTGGAAACAAACTGAGGGTTGCTGGAGGGGAGGTGGGTGGAGGGATAGGGTAACTGGGTGATGGGCATTAAGGAGGGCACTTGATAGAATGAGCACTGGGTGTTGTATGCAACTGATGAATCACTAAACTCTACCCCTGAAACTAACAATACACTATATGTTAATAAAATCAAATTTAAATTAAAAAAAAGAATGCTGAATGCCTACTTATCTGACAGGTATAAAAATGAATATGATTTTAAGTTGAAAAATAAAATACGAGGCAAAGGAGATGCCCACTAAAAGAGAAAAACAGACAAAATTTTACAATCAGCTTCTAAAGTTCTAAAAGGAAGAAGTGAAGATGGAAGGAGGAAGGAAGGAGGGAGGGAGGGCAGAAGAAGAAAGGATCCTGTTGCAATTATATTGAAACTATAGATCAATATCAAGATACTGGACATTGTTAAAATAGTAAGTCTTCCATTCCATGGACATGTTTGGTATACATTTTCTTGATTTATCTTTTATAAATGTCTTATTAAATTTTTGTACATGTTATTACTGAGGTTTTAAGAACTTTTTATTAGATTTATTCCTAAATTAGATTTCTTTTTTATTTAATTTTTTAAAGATTTTATTTATTTATTTATTTGAGAGAGAGAATGAAAGAGAGAGAGAGCATGAGAGGGGGGAGGGTCAGAGGGAGAAGCAGACTCCCCGCCGAGCAGGGAGCCCGATGTGGGACTCGATCCCGGGACTCCATGATCATGACCTGAGCCGAAGGCAGTCGCTTAACCAACTGAGCCACCCAAGGGCCCCTAGGTTTCTTTTTTTAATGGTTTTATAAATGTTATCTTTCCTTAAATTTTATTTTCTAATTGTGGGTGGCATGTAAAAATAAAGCTGATTTTTTAAAGTTTATTTTATATCCAGCAAATTTGCTAAATTCATTTATTATTTCTAATAAATTATATATTTCCCTATGTATTTAATTACAACATTTATCAAAAAGCATAAATGGCAGTTTGTGACTTCCTATCATCTTTACCTTTTATTTTTTATCATGGTGAGTCTGCTACAATGTTCAATACATACTGAGGATAAATGCGGAGACTGGGTCTCCTAGTCTTGTGGACAATTTCAGAGGTAAAGTTTCTAACGTTTTAGTATTACATTAAAAGTTTTATTTAGATTTTTAAGTGAAATAATATGTATCCATCATTATAATATCATGCAGAATACTGTCACTGTTCTAAAATCTTTTGTCCTCAATTTATTTGTCCTTCCCCGCCCTGGTATATAGGACTTTTATAGATAGCATTTATAACACTGTATTCTTCTATTCTGGTCAGCCAGGCAGTTTATTAGAAATAGGTGTTGAATTTTATCATAAACCTATTTTATTTTTTCTTTTAACTTATAATAATGTTAATTTATGTAATAGGTTTTCAATTGTGAAATCAGCCCTACATTCTTGCTTACAAGCAGGACTCCTTAATTATATTATGCATTCTAAAACAAAATGTGTAACATGTAAAGTGCTCATAATACTACAGCTTAGTTTCATTGCTATTTGTATGGCTGGTGTAACTTTTGGGGAGTACGGTGTCTTTCACTTAATATTATATTCATTCATCTTCTTTGCCACCCCCCTCCTCCTCTGGTCTTCCTTCTCTTCTTTTTACCTCTTCTTCTTGCTCTGCTGTGTAGAATATATTTTTTGAACATGCCACCACATATTTACCCATTCCACCCTTGATAAGCATTTAACACTTATGATGACTACATCTGCCATAAACATTCTATTACTTATTCTCCAGTGGACATAATTACACAGGAATGGAATTGCTGCATCATAGAGTATTCATATACTAAACTTTAGTAATTATAACCTTATTTTTCTAAAGTTTTTATAGCAATGTACTCTCCCTGAAACAAGTAAAAGAATTACAGTGTTCCACGTTCTTATCAACTCTTTGAATTATTGTTCAAACAAACTTTGAATTTTAGCTATCCTGGTGAGTGTGTAATGAAGTCACAGTATAGAGTCTTCACATTTATCTACTGAATAATTAACACATTTTTTAACACATTTACATATTTTTTTAACACATTTACATATTTTTGGCTGTTTTGATATCTTCTTTTGTGAAGAGTTCCTTTAGGTGTCTTGCCCCGTCCCCAACTTATTTTTCCCTCCCAGTAGATTGACTGTCTTGATCATCTTCATTCTAGGAGTTAAGCAACTTGTTGTTTTGTTTTGTTTTACAAATTACCATGGAAGGGTGTATGTATTTCTTTTTTTTTAAAGATTTTATTTATTTATTTGACGGAGAGAGACACAGTGAGAGAGGGAACACAAGCAGGGGGAGCGGGAAGGGAGAAGCAGGCCCCCCGTGGAGCAGGGAGCCCAATGTGGGACTCAATTCCAGGACCCTGGGATCATGACCTGAGCCAAAGGCAGACGCTTAATGACTGAGCCACCCAGGCACCCTGGGTGTGTGTATTTCAAATGTGGTCCCTCTGGATTTTTTTGCTTTCTAATGGTGTATTTTCATTAATGCAAATTTTCATTGTAGAGAGTACTATTTCTCTATTATTATTATTATTTTTTGTATCCCATTTAAGGAATCTTTTTTGATCCCAAGTCATAAAAATATTATTTTACTTTACTTTAACAAACCTTTTGGTTTCAGCTTTCACATTCCTATTCATAACACATCTCAATTAATGTTTACATGTAGTGTATAAATGACCAAGATTCATGTTTTACATAGGAACCTAATTGAACAAGGTCAGTTCACTGAGAAGCATGATTTTCCTCATTAAATTTCAGTAGGGCTTTTGTTTTAAAACAAGTGGAATTACACATGTGAGTCTATTTTGGACTTTATTTTTATATTTGGGATCTCTCTGTAAATATGTGCACTAATGACATATTTTAAAAAATAATCTACTTCATTGAAGAAATTGATGTCTGTTATTGGAAGTCCTCTGAATTCTTTCTTCTTCTAAAATATTGCCCTGGCTATTCCAGATCCTTTGCATTTCCACATAACTTTTGATATCAATTTAAGCATTAAAAAATAGTATTGGATTTGATTGTTACTGCATTAAATCTGAAAATTTAGGGAGAATTTTGGGAGAACTACCATCATCACAACATTTATATCTTCCAACCAATGACGTGGTATATTAACATTTATCTCTCCTTCAATAACTCATGCAAATTGTTCATTAGATTTTTCCCTAAGTATTATATAAATTTTGTCTAATATAATTGATAGTTGAAAATTTCAACTTTATTTTTGTTGGTGGATAGCAAAATAATTGATCTTTAATATGTTGATACTATATCCACTAATCTTACAAAATTCACTTATTATTTCTAATATTTCAGTGCAAAGTCTTTTGCATTTTTAATGTACATATTTATGACACTTGAAAATAATCAAACTTTATTCTGCTTTCCCATGCATATACATGTTCATATATCATAATGCAACAAATCTGAAATGCCATCCACCAAAGTGTCATTAAGACAGATATTGTTGATTACTCACTGATGTATATATGCCCAGCATACACACAAAAAACAAACAAACAAACAATAAATGCCATCTTATGTCAGTATTCCAGCGTGATGGGCACTGGTCTTAAAATGGTGTCTAGTCCACAAAATATATTTAATGAAAGACACCAGAAAGCCTTTAAAAATTATTTAATGGCAGATGTATTAAAACAGACTTCCCTTAAATTGCAACATAAGTATTGGAAATGTGAGAACAGAAGTCTGGACTCCAGTCCCTTACATAATACTTACGGACAAATAAAAGTTGATACCAGAAAGATGATCACTACTGGAATACCTATAAGTTGAAAACAGGAAAAATATTTCTAGTTTTCCATTACTTTTACACATTACTCCTCTCAACGGCCTATGTCATATAATAAATAGTAGTTTATAACATGATTTTTTGTATACATAGTCTATACTGAATTCTATATAGGCAATTTGTGCAGATTTTTCCATATTCTATGCAGGGCACCTTTTACATCTTTGTTCCTCAGGCTGTAGATCATGGGATTCAGCATAGGTATTATCAAAGTGTAAAATGCAGAGGCAATTTTATCAGTATCAAAGGAATGACTGGATTTGGGCTGCACATACATGAAGAATAGTGTTGCATATAATACAATGACCACTGTCAGGTGAGATCCACAGGTGGAGAAGGCCTTGTGCCTGCCCTCTGCAGAGTTCATCCTGAGGATGGCCATTAGGATCAGGAGGTAGGACACAAGCACTATCACAAGGGAGGAAACCAAATTGAATGCTGAAAAGATCAGTATTATCAACTCAATCTCACGTGTGCTTGAGCACAGCAAAGTTAACAAGGGAAGACTGTCACAGTAAAAATGTCTAATGACATTATGGCCACAGAAGGATGACATACATATCTTTGTGGTGGTTGTCAGAGAAAGAAAGGCACTGTAGACATAAGGGACTGCTACCAGCACCCAGCACACCCTCTGTGACATAACAATCATGTAGAGCAGAGGGTTACAGATGACTACAAAGTGGTCATAGGCCATTGCTGACAGAATGAATAGCTCACTGATGATGAACAAGATGAAGAAAGGTAGCTGTGTAGCACACCAGTTATAGGGAATTGTATTTTGATTAGCTACAAAATTTACTAACATTTTGGGTCCCACAGCTGATGAATAACCAAGGTCAATGAAAGCCAGGTGTCTGAGGAAGAAGTACATGGGTGTTTGGAGCCTGGAGTCCACCTTGGTGAGGATGATCATGCCCAGGTTGCCCACCACTGAGACTGTGTAGATGATGAGGAAGAGCCCAACGAAGGGAACCTGCAGCGCAAGATGGTCTGTGATTCCCATTAGGATGAATTCTGTTAGCACTGTTAGATTTTGTTTGTTCATCCGGGCCATTAAGGAAAATTGCTGTGGGAACAACCATCACAAGAATCATTGGGTTTCAGGAAACATCATCTGTTGACATTTTAGGAGGCAAAGCCATTAGGGGTAAGATAAATCTAATTTTTTAGATGGGTTAATTTAAAATAAGACTCACATCCATCATTGAACCTGGAACCAAACCTAAAAAGTGTTATGACCTAAGGTATATGGTAGCCATTTTATTTTTTGTGCCACATGCTGGCTGGGAATTCTGAAATTTTTAAAAATGTTTTTCACTTAAAATACCTATACCTGGCTAAATATATCTTACTTTAAAAGGAATTATAATAAAAGTAATAATCCTCTGCTTCTTGCCCTTGCAACGTCAGTTCCAACCTCCATGTAAACCATGAATAACTCATTTAATAGACTTTGATTTGCATTTCTCATTAGTACTCTGCATATCTAATGGTATTCCCATTCCATTACCCATTTGATTGATTAAATTGTGTTCCCATTCCACTATGCTTTTATGAGTTTTAAATATTGTTTAATGATTTTTATGATGATACACAATTTAGCAACCTTGCAGATGTCCATAACATGCCCACTCTAATGCACATAGATACATTTTATTTTCTCTAGAATAGTGTATCTCAATATTTAGCACTTACATGTGGATTTTTTTCAGTTTCTGATCTGTGATATGTTGCACACCAAGTATGGTCTGCATCTACAAGTTATTCAATATAAAAAAGAAGAATTCGCTATATTCTCACATTTGCTTTGAACTTAGTACTGATTCTCTGAAATGTTGTGTTTAATGGTGTAGTTATACTTTCTAACACATTTTAAGACAAGTAAAAGTTAGACTGTATTTGTTAATGTATTGCCTAAAATCATCCAGTATACTGCTATACACTTATCCAACAAAAAGAAATATCACTCCAAAGTAGGGAATACTATCTCAAATATCTTAGAGGCTGGTAAATAATATTGCATGAGGTACATGAATGAAAGACAGAGTAATAGGGAACAAGGGAAAAGAAATATGGCATGATTTAAAGTACTTAAATTTTATCTGTTTAAATGTACATGGACAGAACAAATACTTATTTGATCCAAATAAAGCGAACTGGACATGGTATTGAAAGAAATGGAGTACATTTATCATATTTTAATTTAAATACTATTCTTACACCTTTTTCATCTTCCATCAAGTATACACGAAATGTTTTCTGTTAACACATTTTATTTAAAGATTCCACTTTATCGACCTCTACTTTTCCAACTCCTTTCTCCTTCCAATTGTTTTTAAAGGCAGGTGTCCCAAAATTTCACGGAAAAAGAAATCATCCATATTTTTTTACTAACTTGATTCCAGAGTGAAAAAATGAGAACCCTCCTGTAACTCATTCTAGGAGACAAAATCATGATTTAAAAAAGAAAAATAATAAAAGAAACCCACAATATATTTAGGCTATACACACACACACACACATCCCACAAACCTATAATATATTCAGGTTTAATATATATATATATATATCTATATCCACTAAACAATATTAATATGTCACTGATATCAATTTAAAAAAGGTATAACAATTACAGGACAGTTGTCCAAGCTGCGTTGATCCCATGTTCGGCTGGATGGTTTAATTTTGGAAATTCTATAATTAGAATTCATCACATTATCTGACTGAATTAGAAAAAAAATGGAGCATTTTAATTGATGAAGAATTAATACCATTTAGAATGGATAAAAGCTATAAAAGTTAAGAATAAAAGGGAAAAACCATAATGATAGAATATCTAATAAAAACTACAATGTACCTACTCTTAAAAGGTGAAAAGTTAAGACATTTTTGGGAAAAAAATATAGAATCCTAAACAAAGTGGTAAAATATGTTCCTGGATTACATAATTTAGTGTTACAAAAATTTCAGTTGTGCTCAAATTAATCTCATTTGCACAATGCTTTACAATCAAAATCTCACTAAGGGAATGTGGAATTTGACATTGATTTAAATAATGCTACCAGATAAATAAAACTTAGAAAGCTGGAATTATTGAGGCAATATGGCATACACCAATGGAAAAGAATAGGGACCTCAGAAAAAGACCCATGAATGTGTAGAGCTGTGGTATATGACAGATGTGGCATCCTAGGACAGGCATGCAAAAATGGCCTATTCAGTGTATCTGGGCAAAGTGATTATCTGTATACAGGATGATGAAATTGGATGTTTAGTTGATCCATATAAAAATCAACCCTAGACTGGTGAGGGACTTAATGTCATAGAAAATGTTAAACTTATTTTTATTTTCTTGGGAGAGAGAGAGAGCCTGTACATGGAGGGGGTGGGAGGTGTGGCAGAGGGAGAGAGAGAATTTTAAGCAGTCTTAATGCCCAGCTCAGAGCCCGAGGCGGGGCTCAATCTCATGACCCAGAGATCATGAATTGAGCCAAAGGCGGAGGCTTAACCAACTGAGCCACCCAAGTGCCTCTAAACTTTAGTAACCTTAAAAACTAGAACCTCTGGATGCCCTTAAATAAACAGAAATTTAAAAAAAATAAAATAAAATATTTGGCAGATAAAATTACTTCACAAATTTGTTCTACCCAAAAATCTATTCAAAATGTTTACAGCAAAGCAATAACAAACATTCATTAGCACAATCAAATGACAAAGTCTAATGTCTTTTTTTTTTTAAATAGGGATTTTTTTTAAAAGATTTTATTTATTTATTCATGAGAGACAGAGGGGGAGAGAGAGGGAGAGAGAGAGAGAGAGAGAAGCAGAGGGAGAAGCAGGCTCCCAAGGAGCAGGGAGCCCTATGCAGGACTCGATCCCAGGACCCTGGGATCATGACCTGAGCCGAAGGCAGACGCTCAACCATCTGAGCCACCCAGGCGCCCAAAGTCTTAAGCTACAAAAATTATACCCAAAGAAAGGACTATTCCACAGTAGTTTGTACAGTTTGTCAAACCTCTTCATCCCAACATTCATTTTATTGTGATGTTACAAATCCCTGGAGTTCTTCTGAAACTCAGTTGAGTGAGTATTTGTGTGGCCCTGTCCCCACCAGTCCTACCCAAGCACTGCCTGGAAAGAAACAAGCAAATTGAGCATCAAATCTGACTCTTATCAGATGGAAGCAGAAACTCCAGAGCTGTACCAGGACCTGGGGGATGGACATAGAGCCCAAGAATCTTCTTATGCAACTGCAAACACCCAAGCTCAACTTAATATTCTATAACATTTTCTAAATAACCTCAACTGAGGTGAAGAGGTTGGTCATATTGAGAACATTGCACACTTGTTAAAAGGTGGGAGGGAGGGAAGGAGAGAGGAGGATTATAAGTAGAGCTTGCAAAAATGCTTACTCCCCCTTCACCATGTTTATTGTCTGCAATCTCAATATCAATGTAGAAATAATAACAAATAGAAATGAGGTCCCTTACCACCTTTAAAGAACATACTAACTGTGGTAAACATATATCATTGTTCCAGAAAACCTAGTTATGAACAGAGATGATTAATAGACATGATGTAATGTACTGAGTCTGACATTGGTGACTATACTCATAACTGTCATTTAAGTGGAAGACAGGGATCCAAAGTCATCACTGTAGCTAATCTAGTAACCAATATAATCAGTGCTATCTATTCACCTTAGTTCTCCTGTATGATTACTAGACCTGACTGCTGTCAGAAGAATTTATGAGCATCTCCTCCCTTTGAGACACTCCCCTGGGAGCTTGAATGCAATTCTTGGTTATTCCCAAGCATCTGAGAGCAGGAAATGATGCCACTGGTCTTTGCTAATTATTCAGAGTAACTTTGATTTCCCTATTGAGGAAATCTTTTTTAAAGATTTTATTTATTTATTTGAGAGAGAGAGAAAGAAGGAGTGGGGGGAGGGGCAGAGGAAGAGGGAGAAGCAGACTCCCCGCTGAGCAGGGAACCCCACACAGGACTCCATCCCAGGACCCTGAGATCATGACCTGAGCTGACAGCAGACACTTAACCAATTGAGCCACCCAGGCGCCCTGTTTTTTCATATATACAATTTACCTGCTTTCCTTAATTGTTATCTTTATTGTATTCACTCAAACATCTGGATGTAAGTAGAGTATTTCTCAGATACATGCTTTCATCATCTATCAATTACATAAACTTTCAGCATTTTCCACAATGGCTTCTGCCATGTTTTATATCTGAGGATAAAGACAAGACTATTTACATATGACCTATAGTGTGTGAAAAGCTCAGAAAGAATAAAAAATTATGAATATGTATGTAAAGTTATTTATATTTAGTTTTTTAACCTAAGGGACTAAACTGAGTTAATGATACATAGTTCCACCTCCTGTGTGCACCCACATCCTGATTCCCACTCCTATGTCAGTTTCCTTTCCCTCCACAAGTATCTCCTCCACAAAAGTTGATATATGTTCTTAACAAGAAATTCAGCTTTATGGGGTGCCTGGGTGGCTCAGTTGGTTAAGTATCTGACTCTTAGTTTCAGCTCAGGTCATGATCTCAGGGTGGAGAGACTGAGCCCTGCATTGGGCTCCGCACTCAGAGGGGAGTCTGCTTGAGATTCTCTTCCTCTCCTTCTGCCCCTCCCCCCACATATACTCTCTCTCTCAAACTCTAAATTAAATAAATAAATCTTAAAAAAAAGGAATGCGGCTTTATAAAGTGAATATAATGTATGTTTTAAAGTGCACACACAGATTTTTATATAACTTATTTTGATACTTCAATGTTCTCACTGATCTATATGGCTTTGAATTTTATTCATTTTGTAACATACACACCAATATTTTGCTGGTCTCTGTTTAATAAAATTGCTACAATCTGTCTCTGCCCCCATTTACTATAGGTTTGCTGCCATAGTAACAGGCATTTAGTTAGTTCCCAACTTGTGACTTCTACATGCATCACCACAATTAACAACTTTGTGTGTGTGGTCCCCACTGACTCATGAATGAACATGTCTGAAATATCTCC